AGAAAAGGATTCTTCCCAAAGCGAGAAATTCCGCGAGGAAAACTCGTATAAACTCTCGAATCGCGGGATTCTAATTCACGGCCAGAGTTTCAAAATTAGCCTCTCTTTATTTAACATCCGAGTCGAATTATTTTCATTATTAGTCGTTAAGATCGGTTGAAGGGAAAGGATCGTTTCTTGCTTTGGCATTGGATTCAGGTTACTTTTAATTAGAGAGAGATTACGAAATATTTTTTTCTCTCGCGACAAATGGAACTATTATTTTTATGTATAATACTTTGCAACGATACCTTTCTGAACGTCGTCGAGAAAACGGGGCAAACAATTTCATTGACGTACAAATCCCTTCAAACTTGTAACGCTTAACCCCCCGTGATTAAGGGTGGAATTAAGAATATCCAGAGAGTAAACGGAGTTCCGCGTGAGAACGTATGAGAACGGGATTAACCGAACGTGTGCAAGAGAAACTTGAACATACGAATTTTCGGGATCGTACATTTAATCGATCAAAAAATTATAGCGTGCGGTGGTGGCGTAGCCGTTTTAACGACCGATTCAATTAATATCTGTAATATAGGAACGCCTAAGACGACCTGAAACCGATACTGATTCGCTCGATTGACGAGCAACGACGACGCTTCCTACGCTGTTCGCGTTGCCTACGATCTATTGCATCGTGCAAGCCTTAACCGGAGGGGAACTAGGTCCGAGATTCTAGAAAAGAAAAGAAAAAAACGAAGGAGCAAATATTCCTTTTACTTGGATTCCGCTTCAGATCCAAAGGGAATTTAAGAATTTTCCGTTCAATTTTTTCTCGGCTAAGCAACGTGGCTTTCTCTAAATAAGGCGGTACGCATCGAGGAAACAACGTTAGAAAAACATGGAGCAAGGGGCGCGGTTAGGTTGAAAAAGCGCGAAAGAAAGGAGGAACCGCATGCCGCAACGATCGCCGCAATGGTTGTGGCCCGTGACGATTCGATTCGTTTCGCAAGCAAACTGATCGTTTAATGCGACATCGAGTCCCGCTGGAAATAAGCAGACAGACGGAAGGGCGTTTCTGCTTGCGAGGACAGGAACGAGCTGCACGCCATCCTCAATAATTCAACGAACCTTCCATCTTTCACGGCGGGCCTCGTTCGTGCCGTCCTCCTCGAGAGATGCGCGCCCGAGAATTCGAAGAGCCAGCGGATAAATCGTCGAGGATGCGAAATAGCGGAAACGATGGAATTTCGGTCGAACGGAAAATTGAAATTCGAAAGGAAATATCGTTTTCGGGATAACTCTGATTATTATTAAGAGAAGAAATTTATGAGAAAGAGATAGGATATGAGTCTTCTCTTTGTTCATACACAAAGTTAAGACTTTGTGCTTCCAAAGTGACATTACTTGTAAGGATAACGTAATGTATTACCTGTTGGGTACAGGGGTTATCGATTGGATTGCTTTAATAAGTAGTCGAAAGAGCATTAAATCTATTTTGAGGTTCGACACCGCTCGCACACCACCTTCGAATCGCTCGATAACTGTATGAAAAAGAACGATTTTCACGAGGTGTATATCTCAGGGTCAGGTGGCCAACGATATATATATATATATGAACGTTCACCATGAGCCGAAAGGATTACTCGAACGAAGGGAGCCACGATCTCGACGATAGAAACGGGAGCCTTGAATCGGGCTTACAGGTCGATTTATGGGATCGTATCTTCGTATCGTCCAGGACGTTCGCGTCTTTGGTTTAATCGATACACAAACCTCGTACAAAGAAACGTCAGAAACGATCCAAGTATCGATGAGATGCTTGCCAAGAGGGAGAGAAAATTCTCCAAGGAAAAAAAAAAAGAAGGAGCGAAACGACGAAAGGAAATCGAGGTTTATGCATCGAGGAATGCGTGGAGGGATGTTTCATCGCGGTCAGATCGATAACACGAGGGTTGGGGAGTTATTGCGAAGTCAGGATACTTCTGCGGTTGGATGCACCGTTCTCTGCCCGTTCGAGCGAGATCGACGAAACGAAAGTGGCACGGAACAGCTTAAAAGACAGACACTCGCGGCGCACAACCGACCTAAATTCTATAGATAACCGTTCGTCCTTCTTCCTCCACGAGAAAAACCGTGGACGACGACGAGAATTCTATTCTAAGAATTCTATGTTAACCAATACGAAGAACGATAGATTGGGAAAAAATTTCGTTTCGCGCGATAATTCAAAGAAACTCGTTCGTATCGTCTCGATTCTATCTCGCGGGGATGTTGAGTATATTTTGTGTGTGAAACAAAGGATGAAAGAGAAGCGCAATTGCGATGGAGAGTTGGGCAAAAGGGCAGAAGGAATTAAAATCAACCGGTTAGAAACACGCATGCGAATCCGCGGGCCTTATTCCCGTCAATTGACTCTGCCATTTAAACAGAAATCCCACGGTGTATATGTATTACATATGCATATAACACATCGAGGATCCTTCGGCATTCGAGAGTTTCGCGTCTACGCAATATGTCGAATTACGCGAACATGGGAAAAGCGAGGCTTCTTCTTTGATAGAACAACGAGAGACGAGCAGAGACTGAATTCAAATATATTTCCTTTTCCTTCTGCCATTTCAAGTTCTTTTAACGCGGTAACATATTTTTTATATGCATGTTTGTATTTGAAAACTTGGACGATAATTCAAAAAGTAAATTGAGAAAAGTAAGTAAATTGAGAAATTATGGATCTACTATTATTTTTAAAATATACGTTAAAACATTTTTATCGAGTGAGAAAGATTAATCGAAGGAAAAATATTTGACATTTGAATCTATGAGATTCACTATCGCGTTACGTCTCTTGAAATCCAAAGAAGCAACTAATTTCCCGCGTAGAAAAGAGGAATTTAAACAAAGCGTTGAGGAATTTTCATTTGGAAACTCGTAGCAAAAGGAAGGGGCTGCCCTCTCGAGTTATATACCTGCTCGACCGAACAACTGAAAAATCCAGGATAAACTAAATTGAGTTTGTGATATTTGGCTAGTTACGAATTAATTAAAAATTGTCCCAATTAAGAAATTCGCGTTCCTTTAATGATCTTAAATTAGAAATAGAAAACTCGTGGAATATCTCGAAAGTATACTACTTCGCCAATATGGTTATCAAAATCTTGAAATTTCTTTCATTCCCGGCCTGAATTTCGAGGAAAGTTTCGGTGGAGAAAAAGCAATGGACGGGGAGACGAGAATCGTTTGGTCGGCCAGTGGGTCTGAAAATGGTCGGTCAGTGTGCCAAGAACACGCATAATGATCCCGAATTAACATTTCAAAGATGAACCATCTAGAACCGGGTGGGAAACTAGTGGCGGTAGGTAAAGGTCGATGCCAGCTCATTGTGAATCAAATATTTTCATTCAAGACACGGAGAGGATTCCGGTTTTCGTTCGCAACGACGTTTCGACCAGCCATGTCGAAACTATTACGCGCACTACGCGTATTGTTAATAGACGGCATTGTACACTTGCCTTCGACCGTGTTGCGATACGTGTTGTGTGTACACACAACTATGAGGTGCGACTATTGCACATTGTATCGCAAGAGTGGATCGAGTCGCATTGTAAGCGACGCACAATATCCTTATTAGAGAAGGGTTCGAAATGACGATATCCCTGCTTCGAATTTATACGCATTATGGAGTTGTGCGTGACGTTAGGTAGTTAAAATAAAAAAAAGAAAAAAAGAAAAGAGACGCGAGAAGACGTTTTGTCTCTTGGCCAACTAGTAGGAATCGATAAGTAAGACTTTCTTGGCAAACCCGTGCCTCAAATGCGGGATTTCTTTCAAACGTGTGTATATAACATGCAGTACACATATGTGTATATATAACAGAAATAGAGAACTTACGAATATCCGAGCGATCGAGTATCCGAGTAATCGAAATAACACGAATTCCGTTTCGGTTGCATTCTGATATATTCGCATAGCGAGAGCTCGACAAGTATTTGAATGATACTCGAATCTAAATTGAATACCGAGTATCTGAACATATTTCGATCGAAATTGAGTAGATATTCGATGACTCGAGGAGATGATAATTCGAACGTGAGACATTTAGTAACGATGGCAATCGCATCGAACCACGATAAAACATCATCGTTAGAGATGATTGACGGGAGAAATGGAATTTTCTAGAAAAAAAAAAAAAAAATTAATTGACCCCCTTTTCTCGTGTTTCGATCTACCATATCCGAGCTCGAACTCGGGTGTATCTCGTTATTTCGAAATCTCGATCGCGAGGAATGCGAATCGTTGATCGTAATTGCGTGCGAGTGGGATAAACGCAACTGTCCCCATTTCGCAATTGTTTTCTCTGTCTATCCGATGACCTTGAACCTGCCATTGCACGACCTTGTCAAAGGAGGGATTCTCTCGCTTTCGTGGCTACGAAACTTTCGCTTTCGCTTTCAATCCCGCTCCCCTGCCCGCGTGTCCTTCTCTCGAACGCACACGCACGGGAAAGAAGACGGGAGAGATAAAAGACGAGGAGGAGGAGGAGAATGAGAGAACAAGAATATTCGTGCCATCGCGAATATTTGTTAATTATCCTCGTACGAAAGGTTTCAGGTTTTACTACCAGTCGAAAGGCCGATTATAAGAAAATTAATGCCCGTACCCTTGAGAAAATTCTTAAGATCTTGGATTCAAAGACAATTTTTTACTCGCTCGTCTCTTTGTATTTTTGCTTGCTATAGCTGCTTTCAAAGATTTTAATGTAATAAGGATATTCCAAGAGGTATGAGAAAGAATGTTTTGTTTTTTTTTTCTTTTCTTTTTTTTTTCTTTTTACACCACACTACACGGTGTTTATATAAACAAAAGTAGGAAAGTATGGTCTGGTTGATAAAAGGTTAAGAAGAATCGAAATTGGAATAGTTTCAACGAGACGAGCATCGAGACGAAGGAAATAGATCACGAAATGCACGGTTGTTCATTCAAGGCTGTTCCTTTTCATCCCATTCATCGATTCGATAAACATGGCCAGACAGTCATTACTGTCGGAAACCTTTAATTGGAGCTTGTCGACGAGGAACGGTAAAAACATGGTGCGTTTCAACCGAGTCGCAATTTCTTGCGTCTTTCCCGCAAAAAAAGCTTGTCTGTTCGCTAATTAGTTTTAATTACTCGCGTCTGACAAAAAGGGTCGACACATTGAATCGGCTAAATCGCTTGGCGCTATAATATTTTATCTCTCGAGATATACGGCTGGTGAATTGGTGCGCGGATGGTTGCGGTAATTGAGGAAGATTAAAATTCGGATGTAAGATAGAAACCGTGGCCGCGAAACGCGATACGAGGAGGAAAACACGGATAAATTTAATCAAAGCAACGCACAACTCGGCGTAAACATCTAAGAAAACAACGCTATTCAATCGAACGATACGATAGCCAACGCTTGAGGCGAGAAAATAATCATAATCCAACGGAAGTCGCAAGAAAGCCAACACGTTCGTTACAGTCTCGAATAGAAAAATTAATTAACAGACATTGTCGTACACAATCTATCGACAATGGAAAGCGAAATTTCGTACTTCCTAATCTCGCTTAGGAAGCAATCAAGAACAATTGATTCGATATATCGCGTTACGATACTTTGATTATCTTCGAATCTGATGATGAAAATCAATGAATCAGGAAATAGAGAATTATATAAATTTGTCTCCAAATATCGATCTCAAAATTTCCTATCCAAAGATTCTTTCTATTCGATCGAATAATTATGAATAACTTCGAATTTTTCTTTTTCTATTAATATCCTAACTCTTTCAAAAATTTGAAATCGCTCGTTGATGGAATTAACGACGAAACAAGCACGAACGGAGGATAAAAGCACGTGTGGTCAAACACGAGTTGTCCACGTGTCACGATTCCCAGGAAGGAGAAGAGCGAGGAACCGTGCGGATGCACAGCGCGAGGCAAGCGCAATTTGCAACGGAGAACGTACGTATTAACGAGATTCCATTCGCGCGGGCCTAGATCACCGACACCGCTGGCAATCGCTGCATTCCATCGTTGTAAAAGTACACAACGGCTGCCTCCAAGGACTACGAGTGGCGAGGGAAGAGGTGGCCAAGAGTCGAAAAGGGAAACTCCGCCGCGGCAGAGGGACACGGCCGAGGTATGCAATGTCGCAATTTTCTTGAGCAACCGCCACCGCGCGATCCTTAGGCTGAATATTCACGGGCACGACTGGGAATTAAACAAACGGAAGGTTGTTGTTTATCCTATCCCGACGTTTCCCGCGATGGAGGCTTCAACGGTGAATCGAAGAATTCTTCTCCCAGCAATTGAATTTAAGAAGTGGAAATTTTAGAATAAAATTTTCTATACGGATAATAATTGAAGTAAGTGAAAAAAAAGAAAAGAAAAGTAAGCGTTGGCGACTTCCCAAAGACTATTCTGCCATCTCTTTGAGGATCAACCAGTTAGGAATTCACGATCTGTATAATGTTCCCGTGAAAAGTATAAAATATATAGAGATAAAACAGGAAATGCGTTTTTGATGATGCACGATGAATTTCTTCTCGTCACATTGGTCGATGGTAAAGATGAGGAGAAATAGAATTTCTTAGAAAAATTTCAAATCGATCGGGCCTCTGTCATTCTCCAATGAATAACCGTGTCGTCCTTATCACGCTTGACTTATGAAACTAATTGCTACCGATGCTATAAGTGGCGGTACGTCCTCTCCATAAGCTTCCAAGACCAATAACGTTTTACACGACTCGTGCTATTGAATGGTTTAAATTAGATTGTGGATTCGCATTGTTAATGGAGCGAGAAGTACCCGTGGCATTCGATAATAGCCTTTTGCTTCTCAACAAATGATGCACAAACGCGTTGATGTATAAACCTTCCAATGTTTAAACTTCCTTGATAAATTTATTTATTTTTTTTTCATCCTTTTTTTCTTTCTTTTCTCTTTCAAGTCGATTTCTGAGTCTAAATATAAGATCTATGATTTGTTGTCTCTGGCGCGATTCCAAAACAACTTTTTCCCCTGAGAGAAGTTTCCAGTTCTGTCAGTGACAAATGGAGTTTTCTTTTTTTTTTTTTTTGTCGCACCCGCGCGCATCGATCGAGAGAACAGCAAAATTTTAAGTTGTAAATAAGTTGCATTTTTTTAATCGACAAACAAGAACTGTACTTCTATTTTCAATTATTCAAGTAAAATTGTTAAATGAAGTAATACTTGCAATTTTATATTTGGTTTTCCGAGAACTGGTTACAAAATTCCTGCTATCTGAATCCTGTCTAAATTTCGTTTCACCAGGCGTCAAAGCAAACCGAGCAACGTATAATTCCGCCAAGAACATCCGATTACGTAACCGTTTACCATTTCTACAATCGAAAAATTGAAAAAAGCGCACGCATACGAATCTGGTATACGATAACATTCGATGCTTTGTATCCTCTCTCTCAATTGCTTTTACCCGGTTACAAAACAACGATCGACGCGAATTCGCGCCAAACAAATTGGCTGTCCGCGAATCGACGAGACACAATTCGATTCAACGCGCGGTACAATTCGACTAAGCAGGTGGCTGTAAAATTTCCCCCCTTTGTCGACCGACGAATGGGAGAAAAACACTGGAAAATACACGGACAAAAATGGGAGCAGGATTGAAATATCAATTGAAGCATCGATAAAAGAAAATTCGTAGAAATAAAAGTTGTGAATTGTGAATGAGTTCGGTAGGATCGATTGATAAACGATTGACAAATCGATATTAAACACTGTTATTGATAATTTCTACGATAATTTTCCACCTTGTGAATTTCTACCTTGTAAAATAATTTAAAGAGGAAAAGAGAAAAAAAGAACGAAGAAAATAGGATTGTATTGTAGAATTGGAATTCGAGGAGAAAAGGAAAGGCGAGAAAGGAACAGACAGCCGACTAATCGTTTCCACGCCTTATCAGGGAAGGACACCCAGCTCGATCTTTCCCATTAGAGGTTGGATGTGTGTCATTTACACGGTTTGACGCGCGCGCGAGTTTCACTTCACCTGGCCGAGTGTATTTTCCTCGAACCACGTGGTTAACTGGAACGCGACGAAAGTCAGCGAATCGATGACACATTTTTGCCGAACAACCGAGTCCTCGTTCCCTCGTACTTCCTCGCCCGATTCTCCGACCCAACGTGAAAATTCTAAGCGGAAAATCCACATTCTCGGCTTAATTGCATCTCAATCTCTTTCCTCTACTTCCCTCGATTCCCTTTTCCTTCGATCTTAGCTTGATAAATACGTATTTCTATCGATTATATTGTACTGCGTTTACAAGAAAATCCGTTCGACAAGATAATGTAAACGGTTTGAGATTGGAGTTTTACAGGGAAAAAAAAAAAAAATGATCCTGAATCTATTATTCAACGAATGAAACGAATGAAAAGGTATTTTAGAAATCTTCTTGTAACAAGCGGAAAAGTATAGCGACATCGAAGTGGCATTAATCAAACGGGATGAAGCATACTATGGGACGTGTGCGCGAACAGAGAGCCAAGGGCAAATTGAAATATTTCATTTAAACGTGGCCACGAAAAAAAAAAAAAAAAAGAAGGGGGCAAACAAAGATATAAATTGTCCGATGTAACGAACAGAAACAAAAGAGAAAGAAGGGAGGAAGGGGGGGGGGAGAGAATTTATTTCATTTCACCCTGGAGCATCGTTACCTACGTCGAAATAAATCTTAAATCCCAAAAAATTCTGATATCGGAGGAGGGGGAGGGAGAAAAAAGAACAACACACGCGAAGATTATTGCACGAGTTTAATACTGCGTATAGGCGTATTTATCGTTCGATGTTAATAAGTTTAATTCGACAATGCATCGTTTACGACATTTCCCGATCCGATCGTTACGTCGTTTGTGATCTCGAACTTTTAATCGACGTGAAAATTTCGTGATTAAAAATAAATAAAACGCGCGGCATCGAGAATAACGAACGAGAGAAAAACTGGAATGCGTATCGAGGTCGAAAATAGTTCGCAGTTTCGTGGAAACCGATTAATCGAAATAATTAATTTCGCGAAACAGCGTCGATGATCCGTATTCATTTATAGGATTATTTGGAAATCGTTTCGATTCGTACGCTCAATTATGATGAGGTTTTCTTTATGGATCCACAGTTATTTTGTTGATCGAAAACAGGGGGCCCTATTTTTCGTGCGCGAATCCTCGTAAATTTACATTGAGACCGGGCCACGAGTTCCATCGATAAATTAAATTGCACTGTGCTGGCGTTCATGTATAAAACTTGCATCGTGTAAAATTTACAGGTATTTCAATCTATTATACGAACGATAAGACGCAAAAATATTTGCACAATTAATTGCAATGGGTAAAAGGCATAGCTAATTTGTCTGTAATTACATTAGCGCGACGTTACGTAATAATACCTCGTGTTGTACGAGGTCAATAATGGGAACGTGAAAAACAAGATGGGAAAAAAAGATGCAAAAAAGAAAATTTCATTTGTAAAAATTTTTAGAAAGAAATGGTAAAATTGAAAAATTTCCACGAATACATTTTTTTGTTTGTATATTTATTATATTCAATTTATTTATCTACTCAAAATTAATCATAGCTAATAAATAATTAATAATTAAACGAAATTAAAATTCTCATATAAAAATATTCCTACAAAAAATGATTTCAACTAATCACGCACTTGATTGTACGACGACTTCTTTTTTTGCAATAGTCAAATTATCTACAAAAATGTTCTCTTCGCATTTGCGAATAAAAATTATCATTAATAATTCCTAGCCGAGTAGGAAATTAGACAATGCAGCCACGTTAAATTAATGCAACTGTGAGCTATAAAAATCCTTGCAACGAAATTTTCGAATAAAAATAATTCGTAACTAAAAATAAAAATAAGCGCAATGACCCTTTTAAAAGAGGATCCACAAGTTGGTAATCTCTGAGAAACAATATCCCGTGCACAATGCGCGATGCGTAAGGCAATTTACGCCGCGATTACACCGCGTACGGGCTAGCAAAATAAGCGCGTGTTAAAAAGTAAAAAGGGCGCGAGGCAGCGAAAATAATGAAACGTGGAAGGAGGGGTGGTCCGCGGGCATCCTCCTCCCCGATGGCCCATTGTTTCGCGCGGGGACACACGCCGGTGCGTGTCGTGAGCACGCGCGCTCGCGTGACTATGGGCGTGCGTGTGAACTCACGCGGCCACCTCCGCGCCTCGTCGTTTTTCTCTCTTGATAACGCGTGTGCCAGCATTAATGTTTGCAGTCACAAGTTGGAAAGTTTTGTGATGGCAACCCCGAACGAACAGTTGCCAGGGAAACGGTTTGTTGTGCCATTGTGTTCAACCCCACCGGCAGAAATTCACCGACCGAACCCCGTCCACTACCCCTGCCGTAGCTACGATGCCTGAGCGCAACCTAACTCGGCTTGACCTAGCCCAAACTAGTTATAGCACCACCGACCAATCGGCAAGATTAAATTTCTCTTGGAACCGTTCCTCGCTCCTACTTCTTCGTTAGACCATTCTATATCATATTCGATTCCACGATTATGAATGATATCCATGCGATACCATTATTGTGAGACCCGTCGATATCTTTATCGACTGCCTTATCGACCACTCAGGATTTGTACGCGAGAGAGAAGGGATAAGAGTTTCGGTCAAATGAGGCAAAGAGAATATAGTCTATTAAAATATTAATAAAATTAAAGAAAGAATTTTAAATTATAAATATATATGTATTATACATATGAACGTAAAAAAGGATAACGTAAAGAATATAAGAACGATGTATCGTTATCATTCGTGGTTAGGAGAAATTGTACCCTAAATGAGAAGACAAGAAGGAATAAAAAAAGAAGAAAAAAGTTAAGATGACGGCTTAGAAGAATGAAAGGAAGGAAAAAATAAATCAGGGCGCTTATCGATGGAGGAATTGATAGAGATTTTAAAGATAGATCATCAAGACTGATCAAGAAGAGTAGCAAAAATCCTGGTACTAGTTTAAAGTATGGTAACATGGGGAGAACGAATTTATTATAATGTAGCGTAATAAAGTTTTGGTTACGATTTATACGAACTTGTACATACTATTATGCATGTAAATTAATTTAAAAAGTTTTGTTTTACGAAAATGTAAACAGAAGATGTTCGGTTCATTTATGAGGATTTTTTAGCCTAAAAAAATCATAAAGGAATTAACTAGTTGAATGATACACATGCGCATGAATCACGATTAGAATAGTATGATCGAATATTCAACAATATAATCGATGAATTAATTGCAGAGTCTAACAAACATTGTCAGAAGCAGTTAGCGTTACAAGGAAATAATTAGAGTCGAAGTTCACGGTGGAATGATCAGAAGATACGCTAGCTAAAGACAAGGAAATCGTTAATACACGTGGGATTATTCGATAACGAGCTAGCAGCATTAAGGAAATTAAATATGTCGATTATATACTTGATAATTATTTCAATAATTGTTATTAACCGAAAAAGTTCAATTACGATGAAGCGAATATAAATATGTACAAAAGTCGATCAAATTGTCAAATTTTTACTATTAAATCTAAAATTATTAAATATTTATGTAAAATAACTTAATTTAAATCATTCATAATTAAAAATTAGCTAGATATATTAAGTTATTATTATTAAAATAATCAATACGTTAAATAAAAATGATTATACTAATTGAATTGATGAAATAATAAATAAAAATAAAATTCACTTCTAATTTGACAACATGAAATTTGTAATGATTTTTTCAACATGAATATTGTAAATGATCGATTTTTGTAATTAATTTAATAATTTGTATTCTTATCGGTAATAAAATTATGAAATAAATTATTCATATCAGAGTGTAAAAAAATATGAAATTTCTAAAAAAAATTATTAAATATACGAAATAACTTTTTTCTTTCTTCTGTTAATTTTAATTTAGTATGGCGCCATCTACTTTTAGAGTTAAGCAATACATTGCCGTATAAATATTTCTAAAATAAAAGTCTCTATACATATAAGTCAATATCGATTCAATAATTTCCATCGAACAGATTCTCGATCGAAACGAAACATTAATCGAATCATTACAATAAGAGGACTACATTTGTCATGTACAAAAACGTTAATCCCAGCTCCCATCGGATAACATCGTTTCCGATTCACAGATGGAGTATGTTTCGTTGTAAAAAACAGTGTAAAACTCATTCCACACTACAGTTTCGCGCAATAAATTAATATTTATGCTTTAAATCAAAATTATCAATACATAAAAGTATTCTTAAGACAAAAATCACAATTTAAGGATTACTTAATGATAAACGTTAAAAATATACAGAAAATTATGCAAACACGTGATATGAAAAAAAAACTATTGTGTCATTGGCTATGGAATATTTTTTTATACGATGCTACGCCCTGCATTGAATAACCAGTTAGATAACAAAGATTTGTTGAAGGAATAATACGAAGTTATTTTTCCGGATTCAAATTACATGACAAACAATCAAGTATAGATAATATTATTCTGAAAAGAAAATGCATGTAATCGCTCACGCATTATAAGTAATGTAGGATTATACGTATAGCATACATATAATGCAGTAAGCACAATTCATTAATTTACTACTCTTATCAAGTAAGATAATGTTCATGTTGTTCAGTTTTATCCAATTAATTAGTCATTATATGATAGTGAATGGTGAAGAAATTGATCAAATGAAAACGGTACATAAGTATGGTATACTCGCATGTTCGTGCTATTCCAAAATACGTAAATTTCTACAGACATATTATGCCTGGTCGCATGGCCGAAATTATTGACTTAACTGTCGATTCAAAGCGTCTAAAAACGCATGGCGTAGAATCACTACTGGAAAAACATCGAGTTCGTTATTATACTCGACATATAACCTCAACAATTTTATTAACGTTCCGAAACCTTATAAATTTTATTTTCGAATATTTTATAAATTTTGGAGTCACAAATGGTTCGAACTATCATTTACGGCTTGACCACGCGTACGGAAGAGGGCTGACGCGCGAGGGTCAGAAACTAACCCCCAAAAAAATGTATACGTCGTCCTTTCGGAACGAAACACACTTTACTATCGTAATTAAACGTAAATTATATAGAATTTAGAAACCTTAACGAAAAAGTATTAAAGCATAATAAGAATTTCGACTTACCCGATGCGTAAAAGAACTCCAGAACTTGATATAAACCGGATGAATTCTCACTCACAAACACGAAACTTAACAGCAATCACGATACAATGGCGAACAGCGGGTGCGTAGCAGGGACTGAGCTAATGCTCTCGCCATCTGTCGAGCATTTCGCCAAATTATTGACGAAAAGGACATTTTCCATTGGTCCGTCTCCTCCAATCAGGGTATAGCTTCGATTTACGCGGGAATGCTTTGGCGCTACGCAGCCATATTGTAAATTCATTCGAATTATAAGTTGATAACTGTAAAATCAAAAAAATGAACTTTAATATTCATAATCTTAATCAATCATTATCTGGTAATATAAAATTTATATTTCATTTCTTATTTTTTATAACTTTATAATTTTTTAATGTGATATTATCATAATTATTATAAATAATATGATAGAAACGGAATTACAATATGATGAGATTCACGCAAACTTGAATTCTAATGAATTATATCAAATGCATAGAGAAATAAACGATGTTAAATCAAAATTACTCGAATGTCAAAAAGAATATGAATATACAGAGGTAGAAATACATAATGTCAATCAATTGAAAGATAAAGGAATATATGTATTAAATAATGTAGAAAGAAATTACAATAATTTAGATGAAGAGTTAAAACAAATTCATTGTAACTATATAAAATGTATGCAGAAAGTTAATTCTGATAATGACACTATTCAACAAAGAATTAATTCGTTAACAATGCAAAGAGATAATTTAAGAAAGAAATTGGATGAATTAGAGAAAACAACAGATGAAAATAATAAAAAATTGATAGAAATTAAAAATATGATTATAATTCAAGAGGTACATTTCATTATATAATATATATCATATCGATATTTAAACTAATTTTTATATTTTTATCTCTAGAAGAAAAATATTGCATTAATACGAAAATTAAAAAGAATTACAGAAAATGTATATATTACACCAGATTTAAGAAAAAGAGTAAATATGATTTTAATGGATTCCAGATTTACTAACGTAAAAAATTCTAATTATAAAATATAAACTATTATATAATTTAAGTATTTAATATATATATTTATGTATTTAATATTATTATATAATTCACAAAATTATAAAATAAAACTTTTTCTATTTACAGTTTAACAATATTTACCTATTTTTTACAATATCTATTTAACATTTTCAATTCTATCATTTATTCATCATCTAATAATATTAGACACTTTTGTAATACTTCCATTCTTTCTTCTAAAGAATTTATAGCAATTTGAGTTCTATTTATAGATTGTGTTATGGTATCATTCATAGTCATAATATTTGATCTCTTTTCCGCAATTTTTTCCATTAAAATTTTATTTTCTTCTTCCATTTCATTTACACGCTTTTCCAACAATTCGCTTTCTTCTTTAATCTTCTGTGCATCCAATGAACGTAAATGCAAAGATACATTGCCAGGTGGTCTCCTGAAATAAACATGAAATATAAAATTATTTATCAATTATAAATTAATAATCAGATATCAATTATTACTCACCAAGCATCTTCGACCATGGAAGCATCTTCGTCCGATAACTTCGCAATTCTTTCTAATCCATTCTTTAAACTTCCTTCGTTCAATATATCCTCCAAATCGTCGTTCATATTATCGAAAAGCTCCTGGCACATCGCCTTATATAATTTTTGACCAACATTCTTCCGCTTTGATTTTAAAATTGTAAGAATCTTTATAAAATCATCTTCACTGAAATATTTTTGAACAGTTTTTAAATATCCATTCAATTAAAATATTAATTTTAAATTTTACAACAAATTAATTGTATTTTTTATGAATATTAATTAATCTTCTATTTAAAGTTATTTAGTGTTAATTTTAATTATATCATATATAAAAACATATAATGCATACAATGCAGGTAATACATGTTGTTTTATATATTTTATTTATTAATTTTATTGGTACATATAATTATTAGTTAATACAAAAATGTGTATAGATTGTTGTGTATATATATATATATATATATATATAATAAATAATACAAGAAAATAATAATACTTATT